ATGTTCGCGTTTGTTCATATCTACCTATCTATCTCAGTCTATCTATACCTATTTATCAATCAATCTATCTATTTCAGTCGGTTCATATCTATCTAGCTATCTAGCTATCTATCTATCTATCTCAGTGTGTTCATATCTATCTATCTGTCTACCTCAGTCTGTTCATATCTATTTATCTATCTGTCTCAGTCTATTCACATCTATCTATCTGTCTCAGTTTCTTTATATCTATTTCGCTGTCTCAGTCTGTTGATATCTATCGTTCTCAGTCTATTCATATCTATCTATCCATCTATCCGTCTGTCTGTCTCAGCCTGTTCATATCTATCTATCTATCCGTCTGTCTGTCTCAGCCTGTTCATATCTATCTATCTATCTATCCGTCTGTCTGTCTCAGCCTGTTCATATCTATCTATCTATCTATCTATCTATCTATCTATCTATCTATCCGTCTGTCTGTCTGTCTGTCTCAGCCTGTTCATATTCATTCTATCTATCTATCTATCTATCTATCTATCTATCCGTCTGTCTTAGCCTGTTCATATCTATCTATCTATCTATCTATCTATCTATCTATCTGTCTGTCTGTCTGTCTGTCTGTCTGTCTCAGCCTGTTCATATCTATCATATTTTTCATTATCAATGTTTCTTCATATCTAACTATGCGTCTCTCATCCTCAATATGTTATCGTTATATTACATTGGTTTCTCGGTTAAATTCTACTCTCTCTCTCACACTCACACTCTCTCTCTCTCTCTCTCTCGGCCCTCTCACTCTCTCTCTCTCTCTCTCTGCATGCACACACACACACACACACACACATATATATATATATATATATATATATATATATATATTCCTCATCAGTTAAATTTTTTGTTTATATATTTTAGTTGTCTGTCGATCTATCTACAGATCTTCATGTTTATTGCAATTTTGTCAAGAATTAATTGACTGGGAAACACTTTCTATTTTATCTGCTGGCTTCAAAACAAGATTCATATAAAGATGTTTATTTTTATTTTTATTTTTTTTGAAAATATCTATACCTATTTAATTCATTTATTTTTTAATTTAATTTTTTCAATTTTATTAATTTTTATTAAATTTACTTTCTAAATATTTATCAATACGCCATTTGTAAATCGAGATTCACATGAAGTCTATTTCAAGTTTAATAAGCGTTTCCCTCTTTTTGCTCAATGAATTAACAAACTGGAGAAAGCAACGTGCGAATAAATATTTTCTGCTTCTCATTTATTGTGCCAACCATTTGGATAACAACGGTAAATTCCGTTGCTAAATAGCGAAACTTCATGGCCAATGGCGTACTCTCTATTTTCTCCTATTTGTGTTTGCTTTTCTAAATCATTTTATGGTAATGAGCTGTATTATTAAAGAGAAGGAATAATAAAGTCCGTAAAGAAATAAAGAAAGAAAGAATGAAAGAAAAATATGAAAAAGAAAGAAAAATAAATTAGAAGTAAAGAAACAAAAAAATACGAAACAAATGAAAATACGAAAAAGAAAAAATAATATGAAAAATAAATAAAAATAAGGAAAGAAAAAATAAGAAAGAAAGAAAAAAGAATAATGGATAATTAGAAATAAAGAAACAAAAACAAGAAATAAAAGAAAACACTAAAAATAAGAAAGAAAGGAGAATATGGAAAAAAGAAACAAAAATAAATTAGAAATAAAGAAACAAAAAATACGAAACAAATCAAAACATGAACAATAAGAAAGAAAGAATGTGAAAACAGTAATAAATTAGAGCCGTGACCGACCACATCCTGAAGACATATGATATATGAAGTTTCAGCCCGTCCATTCCTCAGCCTTCTTCAGTATCCGAAATAGCTCTACTCTATAAAATCTAAGGAAGGAACAATGATAATAGAAAAAGAAAAATACTCCAAATATGGAGCAAATACTTCGGATTTCATGATGAGAGAGAAAGAGAAACATTCAATATACAAAAATATAGAATGACTTGAGATATTAAAATCCGAAGTAAGATCAACACTGAAGAAAATGGTCAAGAACAAAGCAGCAGGACCCGAAGGAATCGTAACAGAGATGCTGAGAGTCTCTAAAGATTTTGGCATCGACAAGGTCACAGAAGTGATAAACGAAATATACGACAGTGGTAACATAGCGGAACGCCTCAGCAGATCCATCTTTGTAGTACTACCCAAGAAACAAGGCACAAATGAATGCGGTGTTCCATCCGACAACCAGCTTAATGAGCCACATAACTAAGCTAATAATTCGAATTCGGATAAATAGAGTGAGAAGCAGAATTAACCTGGAAATAGGACAAGAACGGTGTGGTTTTGTCTAGGACATTGGAAGAAGAGTGGAAGAGAATGGTATGGTATGGTATCTATCTATCTATATATCTATCTATCTATCTATCTATCTTTCATATCTCTTTATTCACATCTATCTACCCATTTCTATCTATTTCATTCTGCTTTCTTTCTTTCTATCTAATTTGGTACACTATCTATCTATCTATCTATCTATCTATCTCAGTCTGTTCATATCTATCTATCTATCTATCTATCTATCTCAGTCTGTTCATATCTATCTATCTATCTATCTATCTATCTATCTGTCTGTTCATATCTATCTATCTATCTATCTATCTCAGTCTGTTCATATCTATCTATCTATCTATCTATCTATCTCAGTCTGTTCATATCTATCTATCTATCTATCTATCTATCTCAGTCTGTTCATATCTATCTATCTATCTATCTATCTCAGTCTGTTCATATCTATCTATCTATCTATCTATCTATCTATCTATCTATCTCAGTCTGTTCATATCTCTTTATCTCATTTTGCATGCTTTCTTTCTTTCCATCTAATTTGGTTCAATATCTCCCTATGTGTTCTAGAGTAGTTTTCACAGTGGAGGCTTGTATTTCAATAAGTCGGTCCTAAAAGGGGTCCGACGTACAAAACGTTAAGAAACTTGAAATAAGAGTTAACGACGCAGCAATCTAGTTGTGACGGTTGATACTTCAATGTCTGACATCGACTGACTCACTCAACACCACCGAACTCAACTGGCGACCACTACTACTACTTATTATGTGTGGGAGAGTCTATTACAATAGAATAGGTAATGTTCTGGTATAACACTATCTATTTACTTAAGTTGGTTATCTATCTATCTATCTATCTATCTCAGTCTCTTCCTCATCTATCTATCTATCTCAGTCTATTCATATCTCACTATCTGATTCTGCTTTCTATCTGTCTATCTATCTATCTAATTTGATTCAATATCTCTCTATTAACTACTTTGGTACAATATCTATATCTCTGTCTATTTATCTATCTCAGTTTATTTTATAGTGGAACACACCTATTCTATAGTTAATAGACTCTCCCACCTATAATAATTAGTAGTAGTAATAGTAACGAGGAAGTCGCTAAGTAAGTCGCTCAGTCAGTCGATGCCGGACGACCGTTAGTCGGATATTAAAGTATCAGCGACCACAACTAGATTACTCTGCGTTATACCTATTATATCAAGTTCCTAAAGTTTTGTACGTCGAACCTATTTTAGGGCTGACTTAGTACAAATACAAGCCTCCACTGTGAAATCACTCCATAACAGTTTATTCCTCATCTATCTATCTATCTATCTATCTGTTTTAACACACATACTTCACCGCTAAAACATACATAAAAAAAGAAAAGAAATTCTCTTCCTGCATGCCAGTTAAATAGAGCACAGAACAGAATTAGCCTGGAAATAGGACAACAACGGTGTGGTTTTGTCAAGGACACTGGAACAAGGAATGCAATGGTCATAATAAAATTTCAGAGAGATCAATACAAACACAGAATGATGTATACTTATGTTTTGTAAATTATACAAAAGTATGTGGCAAGGTACGACACAAAGATCTATTTGAACTGCTAGGAAAACTCGATCTATTTAGGAAAGATGTCAGAATAATCCAGAACTTATACTGGAAGTAAACTGCCTGCATGCGGATAGAAAATGAATTGAGTACAAAGGGGGGGGCGTAAGACAAGGATATATCATCTTACTAGATTTATTCAACACCTATAGAGAGGCCATCATGAAATTGCTGGAAAGCCTACTAGAATTTATTAGCCGTGGGCGCAGTCTTAATATAATATATGCAGGTGACACTCTACTGATGGTAGACACAGTAGGAAAAACCACAGAACCCTCCTAGACAAGGTATTAAAGGAAAGAGATAAGAAAGGGCTACCAATTGTAAGAATACAGTATGTCTGGTTGTTAGTAAAGGTAAAAGTTCACTATGGGGAGTACAAATTGGACATATCAATATCAAACAAGTACCGAACGATAAATATCTTGGCGGGGGAGGGGGTAACAGAGAACGAAAAATGTGGCACCGAAATCCGAAGGCGCATTGAAATAGCAAAATATGTCTTCCAAAAGCTAAGCAAAGTAATGAGAAAATAGAATTTTTTTTAAGCATTTCACCCCAAGAAAGGCGGGAATGCCATTAGTACGCACGGGGCTACAGAGAGTGTAATTAAAGAAAAAAAGCTTGGTATGTGGGGTGGGGGGAGAAAAGAATAAAATGAAGAATGGAGGAAGATAAAAAGAAAAACTGGGATCAAGGCAACAGAAGATATCGATTGACATTACATTTAAATTTTTGAAGATTATAATTATCAGGGAAACAATTAAGAGGAAGGGAGTTTCACTGTCGGGAAGTGCGAGATAAGAAGCTGTTGGAGTAGAAATGGCGATTACATTTAACTGTTTCGACAGTAAGAGAATGGGACTGAGATGCCAACCTAGTAGCACGCTTAAATTCATGCAGTCGGGGAACCAGTGAAAATAGCTCAGTAGAGAAGATGCCATGAAAATATTTATAGAAAAGACAAAGGGAAGCCACATTACGTCGGTGAGAATGTGACTGGATTCGAGATGCCAGGTCAGGACCTATCAAATTGCATATCCGTCTTTGAACCTCGAGATAAACAGCGGGGGCACCAGACCATATATGGCAACAGTTTTCCATGCATGTATAAACGAGGTATTGCTACCTAAATACACAATATATATAATTACGAATTTACGACCGGCGTCTGCTATTCCACGCCCGTTTCGTCGCATAGCAAACTTCTATGTAAACATAACACAATGTCATCTGAGATTGTGAACATCTCTTTTGTAATATACATATAAGCACTCTGATGATGGCTAATGTGAACCGAAAGCTTAGATCGAGGAACAGCATGATAAAAAAAAATAGCCAAATGTTGGACAGTTTTTGTCTTCATTTTCTCCCGAAATTAAAGCAACTATACGAAGCTTAGAACGATCAAACATAATAGACATTCGTTGCCTGTTATATTTAACATGATATGCTTGAAGATATATATATATATATATATATATATATATATATATATATATATATATATATTAAAGACATTTTTATGTTTAACATTCTTTTATAGATACAAGTATTTAAGTAAATGCTCTGTTTATAATAAACAGTATTAAATAACATTTACCGGTCTGAATGTCCGAGAAATTTTCATAGAAAATATTCGTCCTTTGACAGGATTTTCTATGAAAATTTCTCAACATTCAGGCCGGTAAATGTTATTTAAAACTGTTTATTATAAAACAGAAATTAAAAATATTGTATCTATAAAAAGAACGTTAAACATAAAATTTCTTTAATAAATTGTCGGACTTTGTCCATTTCTTATATATATATATATATATATATATATATATATATATATATCATTCTGTCTCTTTTTCTCACACGAAATACATTGTTCCTATTAAAAATAAATAGATAAATAAAGGGTAATGAGCATTAACCTATTGTCGCAATTGTTCTTATTAAGGGTTTTATAGCTTAACAATACAGTTCTTGATGATAATCTTTTCATAAAAACATGCAAATCGTTTACGTTAAATAAGTTGAACTTCTGTTGCTCTGCATGAAGCGAACCAACAGAATGCGAGAAACGGCCGATTTGTTTCTTTGTCGTTTATTTAAACAAAGTCATTTGCATTTTTGCCCCATTTAGAAAGAAAGCAAAACAGTTGACGAATATTTTGCCTACGAAAAATGGCTTACAACAATTTCTGTCTTAGAGTCCATCCGGGTTTTAAAAAAATAAATATAACATAATTTTCAATTTTGTTTTTCTGGTCTTCTCTATTAAGCATTATGATGTAAGTAGATGTGATTTGTGTACAAACTAGATAGATAGATAGATAGATAGATAGATAGATAGATAGATAGATAGATAGATAGATATTGAAAGAAAGAAAGAAAGAAAGAAAGAAAGAAAGAAAGAAAGAAAGAAAGATTGTTAGGAACCGAGCGTATATAGAAATTAAAGATAAAGATATACCTATGGCCATGGATATAACTAGGAAGGAAGGAAGGAAGGAAGGAAGGAAGGAAGGAAGGAAGGAAGATGCGAACTAACACGGACAGAAATGAAAAGAAAAAGAAAGAAAGAAAGAAAGAAGGAAAGAAAGAAAGTTGACACGTGTTAATAGAAATTTAAAGAAAAAACTCAATGAAAAAGAAAGAAGCCAAATATGAAGGAAAGACGAATGATACAAACGCATAATGATAGAAATGAAAAGAAAGAAAGAAAGAATGAATGAATGATTGAATGAAAGAAGAAAGAAAGAAAGAAAGAAAGAAAGAAAGAAAGAAAGAAAGAAAAACTAACCAAAAGAGAAAGAAAGAAAGAAAGAAAAAGATAAAAGAAAATAAAGAAAGAATCGATGAAAAATTTGAAAAATAATAAAAGATAACAAAAGAAAGAAAGAAAAAGATAAAATAAAAGAAAGAAAGGGAGAATGAATAAATGAAAAATTTTAAAAATAATGAAAATTAAGAAAGAAAGAAAGAAAGAAAGAAATTAACACAGATATAGCACATGGATAAGAAAAGAAACGAAAGTTATTATTATGACACCTTATAAATTATAAATGAACAAGTATGAATGTAAATCCCACATAAATCATAAATTTTCATATAATTATGCAATAATTGGCGGTAAAATTATTCATTTATGTCTAAAGCGTGTCTGAAATCGGATCGCGCGATAAAAGCGAATAAAATGGCCGGCAATTAAAACTCTGCACGTGTGCCTATGTGTGTGAGACAGTAAAGAAGAAGATATGGATTAAAAGAGAGAGAGAGTAGAAGAGAAAGAGTAGAAGAGAGAGAGAGAGTAAGAGAGAAGAAGAAACAAAAAATGCGCACACCTTTGAGTACATTTGAAATTTCAGGTGTTTTGACGTTACAATCTATAAACACCATGAATTGTAAAAAGAATAAAAACCATCAACACTTTCTTAAATTTACCAAATCTGACATCTTTAATAAAATTTCTCAGAAGTTTCCAGCCGGTAGACGAAAATAAATAAATAGAACACACACACACACACATATATATATATATATATATATATATATATATATATATATATATATATATATGGGGGTATTCACTAAAAATAACGTTTAAAGTGATAAAATTAGTCGGATTAATAAATAAATAAAAATGCAAAATAAAAATTACTTATTTACATACACACATACACACACACACACTTTGGATTTTAAAGCTGGGCAGAGTATTGCGAGACAGAAGGATTTCTTTAGTAACAAAAAAAAAAAACGAAAAAAGCTGTTACGTGACATCTGTCCTTCTTTACGGCGGCGAATGTTGGACAATTACCTCAAAGATGAAGAAAAGACTGGAGGCTTCGAAGATGTGAATCTACAGAAGGATGCTAAGGATATTACGGACAGAGTGTGTGAGCAACGATGATCTTAGAGAGGATGCAAACAAGGAGCAAGCTTATACTTAACATTAGGAAGAGGCAGGTGAAGTTTCTGGGACACATTATGAAGAAGGAGGACCTGGAGAATCTGATACTCACGGATCGAATAGAGGGAAACAGAGACAAGAGAAAACAACGCGTGACATACCTGGGGGGCTTATTCAAATGGATGACAGAACGTGATCTGGGGAAGGAAGCAGAGGGAAGGAACTTGTTGATAGCTGCAAAGGATAGAAGGAGGTGGAGAGCCATGATCGCCTACGTCCTGAAAGGACATGGAACATAAAAAGAAAAAAAGAATTTTTGCTCTGTAATAATAAATACACTGAGCTCTTTTTGTGGATCAGTTTTAATATTTTATATTACTGGGATCTACTTGGATTATATACCAAGGGATTTATTACCTTTACCATATATATATATATATATATATATATATATATATATATATAATGCATGTTTCATTAAATATTATAAACAAGTTTTGTCTATTTATTTTAAGTAAATTCCTTTCATATTGTTTGATAAGCTTAATAACATTATCATTGAAAGACGAAAGAAAATCACCACATTGATACATGTCTATCTAAGCTTTCGGCTTGGGAAATCTTCCATGAAAGAAAAAACAGACTATTATTGTTGCTATGACCGTGTATTGTTTAATTTATTATAATGTATTTGTCATCTCTGATGGTGGATTATATAAGCCGGAAGCTTAGATAGAATTAAAAAACATGTACCAATATAAATACACACAATATATATATATATATATATATATATATATATATATATATAAAGAAAAGAGATAGATAGATAGATAGATAGATAGATAGATAGATAGATAGATAGATAGTAAGAAGCCTTAACAAAAAATTCAGGTTGATAACACAATTATTCTTCATAAATCCCGTAACCCAAAACATCTGTCTGTGAGAGAAGCACTTCATATAAAACATCTTGCATCCGGTATTAATCTTACTTTATTTAACAACGGAAACAAAATGTTAAAGGTTTTTTTTTTTAAACAGAAGGACACCAACTTAAATTCTGCCCACATTCCTTTCGCAGGACTCGGAATAAACGCTATCACCTTTCCAGTGACATTACACAACTACAGACAACCGTGAAAAGAAATTAACGATTAACAACAAACCCCTTGAAAAGTGCAAAAAGAATTGGCCAAAAGCGCTTGGGACAATAGACATTGCGGACAATGTTTACACTCCCTTACCAAACGGAAAAAAATGTTTCAGTCTTGAGAAACTCAATAAAAATTCATCAAATTTTCATTATCTGTCATATTCAAAGAAACACGTTTGAAAGAAAGGCTGCTGCCCAAATAATATACATTATATATATATATACATATATATATATATATATATATATATATATATATATATATACATATATATATATATATATATTCATACATACATATATATATATATATATACATATATATATATTAATATTTATATTAATGCATGTTTCATTAAATAATATAGACAAGTTTTGTCTATTTATTTTAAGTTCCTTTCATATTGTCTGCTAAGCTTAATAACATTATCATTGAAAGACGAAAGGAAATCACCATATTGATACATGTTTAAATCCAATCTAAGCTTTCGGCTTGCATAAGCCATTATCAAAGATGACAATTACATTTCAATATATCAAACAACACATGGACAAAAAACATTGATAGTCTGTTTTGTTGCATGAAAAATTTCAAAGCAACGACAAACTTGTGTATACGAGACGCGGAAGCGAAAATCGCGTTGCAGCTCGTGACGTCACACATGACCACGCGAGAGTGAAAACGAGAAGTATTAAGTATGGGAAGCCGTTGGTATAAACCAATGGCTTCTGTTATCAATTATAGGCATTTAAGAATATTTGTGGAGATTTTATAGTTTATTTTGTTCAGGTTAGGTTTTAACTGTTTTATGTATAAAGCTTCAGGAATTTTTAATTTTTGTTTATTGTTTTCATGTTTAATGAAAAATTGCTGCCTAAATATACACAATATATATATATATCTCTTTGGCCATAATGAGTTAGTTCTTCAACATCATTTAAACTGAAGATGTCTGTGAACATGATGCCAACTTTTCATGCGACAAAAAAATGACAAAACGCTTAATATTATAAAATCAACAATATTTGAAGAAACGAAGCATCTTCAGTTTAATTGGAGAAAAAGAACACTTTCATTATGGCCAAACACTGTCATATATATATATATATATATATATATATATATATATATATATATATATATATATATATATATATACAGGGTATTCGAGTTAAATTTGATAGTCTAATGTGTTTATTTAATTTTTCAAATTGGTTTGGATTATCTGTAAACAAAGAACGATATTGTGAAATCTAATCACAACAGTTTTAGAGGTATCAAAGTTAACTCACATGGATGAGTGGTATCCACCTGAATATTGGAAAAGGGTAACCAGCATCATCATGATTTGTGCCGAGCATCAAAATGTCTCAATCATGACAGCTTCCCAATGCTCCTTGAAAACAATAAGACGTGAAATGGAGAGGTACAGCGGAGACTACGAGGCCGTGGCTCGTAAGAAAGAACACATCGGACGTTCTGATTGCCTCTGTACACCAGAATTCATCCAACAACTGTAGGAAAAAGTGATGAAAATCTGGTTCTTCTCCGATGAAAAGAATTTTTGTCAGGACCAGCTGCACAACACCCAGGACAACAAATGGCTTGCCTGCAGTACATATGATATTCTTCCTGTCATGTTTTTTGGGTGTGCCTCCAGTAAGGGTGATGACATGCTACCTCACACCTTGAGCTCAATTCGGATGGGTTTATTGTGTTGCTGAACACCGTGATCAAGCTTTGGTTGGAGAGGGTGGGTGCTGGAAGACTATATGCGTGTCAGCAAGATTTAGCTCGCTGTCACAACTCCAGGAAGAGTGGGAAGTGGTTATCAGATAATTTTTACAACTTCACCAGCCCCCAAATCTGGCCCCCTAACTACCTTGATTGAAATTCCATACATTATTATGTGTGGGGTACGGTTGATAAAGACACCAATCGCACTGCCTGTAACACCAAGGCCCAGCTCATCAACAGTATTAAGATGGCGTTTGAGGCTTTCCCTAGGTACACCGAGAAGGTAGCATCTGCCAATTTCCGAAGTCGGATCGAGATCGTTATAAATGCTGAGGGTGGGACTTCGTTGGGTGAATTCTTCTTTGATTATTATATCCTGTATTTTAATTTTCTACTTTTCCAATAAATTGATGTTTGGCTAGGATATTCACTTTGCTTTCCAAAAAAAAAAAAAAAAACTGTCAAAATTATCCCGAACACCCTCTATATATGCAAATAAATATATGCAAATAAATATATGCAAATTAATGTCTGGATGGGGAAAACTCCGGCGTTTCTTAAATGCTTCCCACGAAAAAAATTTGTTTACTTTGTTTTTATTTACTAATGTTAAGTTTGAAACTGTGCCTACGTCATTGATAACTGCGTGCTCTTGTTTTTCCTTTTCCCAATTCTCATTAATACGCATTTATCAATGACGTAGGCACACTTACAAAGTAAACATTTGTAAATAAAAACAAAGTACAGATAACTCTTTAAGAAGTCAGGGATCGATTTGACGCATTATTTATATTGTGAACAGGAATACCCTTTCTAAAATTATTTTAAAAAATAAATATTTTTCAATTCTAACAAAAGTCGTGAATTGTGAACAGTCCAATGAATTCTAATATAAAAAATTTATTCCCTCAAAAAATTAATTTCTATTTTTTTAATTTATTTATTTTTTTAGACGAGCGGACCAGTTAATTTAAGTAGTGCCAAAACTTCTTGAGAACACGTTTGGTCCCGAGGAAATTATTCAGGCAAGTAACTGGTTTGTTACTCTAAGGGTGATAGGATGTGGCACAAGGCCTCAGATAAGTAACTGTTTTACTGATTAGTTTCATTGATTCATTCACTTTCTACGGTTTATCAACCCTTTGGAGGTTATTTGAAGACAGAAAATATTTTTTATATTGTAAAATTTCATTTTGAGGTAATGGTTTAGTGATACAAACTTTGCTAATTAACCCATAGCTGGGGAGAGGCGGTTGCATTCAAACCTTTCTCAAGGGTATTTAGGCGTAAGTGAATATAACGAACACAACGGCTCTCTAATTAACAATTCCGAACCATTAATCCACCAGCACATCCAAGCTTACAGCAACTGGTATCCCCAAGTGGTCACCCATCTAGATACTGACCAGACTTGACGTTGCTTAACTTCGGTGATCGTACGGGAACTGGTGTTTCAACGCGATATGGTCTTAAGCCGTTTCACTGATTGAATCAATCTTATATATAAAACAGGGGGAAAAGACAACAAACTCCGGTTACAATTTGTATCGAAACGTTAAAGATACTGAGACGTTCAGCCTTTAAATTTAAATTTTGATACCAGATATAGTGGAATCTTCCTCTTTTCATGTCGATATACCAAATTCTTAAGTGTAGTGATCCGAAAAAGGAAACAAATAGTTTTCGTATACCCTACTATTATTATTATTAGCTTTGTTGTTGTTTAAATAATAATAATAATAATAATAATAATGATATTGGAAAAAATTTTTAAAATTGGGAAAAATAAAAAAATTGGAAAAAAATTTTTAAAAATTGGAAAATATGTGAAAAATAAAAATAAAATAAAAATAAAAAATAAAAGTAAAATAAAAATAAAAACAAAAATAAAATTAAAATAAAAAATAAAATAAAAAATAAAACAAAAAATACAAATAAAATAAAAAATTAAATAAAAAATAAAAAAGTAAAAAATAAAACATAAAAAATAAAAATAAAATAAAAAAAACGGAATTGGAAAAAATTTTGAAAATATATGAAAAAAAAATTGGATCAATCTTATATTTTATATATAAGATTGATAAAGGGAAAATACAAAAAATTCCGGTTACAATTTGTATCGAAACGTTAATGATACTGAGACGTTCAGCCTTTAAATTTAAATTTTGATGCCAGATATAGTGGAATCTTCCTCTTTTCATGTCAATATACAATTTTTTTTTTGGTGTAGAGATCCGAAAAAGGAAACAAATAATTTTGATATACCTACTATTATTATTAGTAAGTAGTATTGTCGTTGTTGTTCAAATAATAATAATAATAGTCATTGATAGTTTTAAATGTCTACATAAAATGTTCATACGAGGAAGATCCTTAATTTTTAAAAGTATCTTTTTTACCCGACATTTCTTCTTTTTTTTAATCATTCCACCCTAAGCAAGGCAATAAAGCCACTAAGATGCAAGGGGTTACTGAGTGTGAGAGAATATGACAAAAAGAAAACATTATTAAAGAGAGAGAACAACCAAAGAACAGGAATTAAGAAGACAGAAAATAATAATTGACATTGCATTTAAATTTTTGAAGATCAAAGTTGACTAGAAATAAGAAGAAGCGTGCGAAGAGTCTCACAAACGAGAAGTGCAAGAGAAGAAACTGTTAACATAGAACTTACGGTTACATTTAGCCATTTTCATTTTAAAATTAATGAGTAATTATTATAAACCTTATTTTAATGGGCATACGTGTTCGACTTGTTTTGGGATTTATTTACTTAAACATTGATATCACCCGGCCTAGATCGAGAAATCCTACCAGAGGAAAATGTGCCTCCTGACAGGAATTGAGCCTGTGAAGCCTGATTTATAAAACTCAAATACTTTTGATAAATCCTAATACAAAAAAATAATAACACTCAGCAGCCTCTTGCGTCTTAGTGGCTTTATTTTCTTCTTTGTCATGAAATGATTAATATATATATATATAATTTTATCATATAGACAAAACCATTTTACTCACTACAAAGATGCAACTTAGTTTCAGTGCATTTCAACTGCACTTCGACGGGTGAGAATCGAAAATGGTTATGAACAAGCAGAATTGTTCATAACCATTTTCGGTTCTCAATCGTCGAAGTGCAGTTGAAATGCACTGAAACGAAGTTGCATCTTTGTAGTGAGTAAAATGGTTTTGTCTATATGATAAAATTATAATGAATAAATAATTATCGCTCTACTATCGGTATAGAGCCCTCTTTTGGATTAATGCTGTAGACGTTAGAATTTATATATTACTTTCGTTCTCATCGCATCGGATCGGATACACACACACACACATATATATATATATATATATATATATATATATTAATCGGTTTCTCCCATGTAAGTCAATAAAACCACTACGACAGAAGTATTACGAACAGAAATATTAATGATGAGCGGGAAGAAAGAAGAGTAATCAGGAGGACAGTAGATACAGATTAATATTGCATTTAAATTTTGTCAGATTAAAATTTGCTGGAAAGCATGGAGCCAAAAGCGAGTTCCACAAACGAGAAGTGCGAGAGAAGAAACTTTCAGCATAGAACTTACGGTTACATCTCGCCATTTCAACTGTATAACGAAAAGTAATTATTATAAACGCTATTTAATGGGCATACGTGTTTGACCTGTTTTTGGTTTTTATTTTCTTAAGCAGCGAAGTTGATATTAACCGGCCTAGATCGAGAACTACTACAGGAAAATGTGCCTCCCGACAGGAATTGAACCTGTGAAACATGATTCGTAAAAACACAAATACTTTTGATAGACCCTAATATAAAGAAAATTAATAATGAAAAGAGAAGAAATGCCTATCAGCTAATCTAATTTCAAGCACATTAATTGAAGGATCTAAATTGAGTCACATTCAAACAACGTCACTAAAGCGCGAACGTTAACAGAACTCACGCCAATTTACAATGCAGTTTTCTTTCTCATACATATGCGCCATCGTTACGAATAGCCATAAATTGTTGTATTTGCATGACAATGCCCAACACTTCAGTCACAGTTCAAAGCAGATTGTGTGAATCGACCGTTTCGCTCATACAACCGCCGTAACGTAGCTTCCATAGACCTTTTACTTTCATTGTAATTGCTCTGATGATCTTTCCTTTCATTCGGCTTTCATTTTTAATTTGTGGCTTTTTACTCCCACACGTACTCCGCCCACAGACAAATTGTATATATGAGAACTAGTTAAGATTTCATAGAGACTTGAGGTATTATGGTGACTGTAGTAAGAATGGTAAGTAAAAATCTGTTGTTTTGGTGTAAGGAATAATGTGGTATGTTTGGGTTAGTAATTGTTAGTTAGGTTTTGAAGTATTATGGTGGATGTAGTAAGAATTGTAAGTAAAAATCTGTTGGGTGCTGCTTGGGGTGAAATGTTTAAAAAAAGGACATAGGCTTTATGAATTTAAGCACACTACAAGATCGGCAGCAATGTGTAATAATTTTACAGTTGAAATGGATAAATCTAACCGTAAGTTCTATGCTAACAGTTCACTTCTTACTTGTGGAACTCTCTTTCGGATTCTTGTTTCCCAGTCAAATTTGATCTTCAAAAATTTAAATGCAATGTGAATCGTTACCTTATGTTTTCTTTATTATTTTTCTTTTACTGATGTCTCAAATTAATAGTGTTTTTTTCCTTTCTCATATTCTCTAACACTCAGTAATCCCTTGCGTCTTAGTGACTTTATTTTCTTGTTTGGAATGAAATTATATATATATATATATATATATATATATATATATATATATATATATATATATATATATATATATCCTTTTCACCTATGTAAGTCAGTAGATGTTACGGAGTGTGCGAAAATTAGGAACAAAAACATTAATAATGAGCGGGAAGAGAAAAGAGTAATCGGGTGGACAGTAGATAGCGATTGACATTGCATTTAAATTTTGGCAGATTAAAGTTTGCTGGAAATCATGGAGCCGGAGGGGTTCCACAAACGAGAAGTACGAAAAAAGAAATTCTTAGCATAGAATTTACGGCGAGATCTCGGCAGCTCAACTTTAAATTCATTTAAACTTGACGCCAGTCTAGTACTGCGCTTAAATTCAAAAACTAGGTACATGAGCGAAGAGCCCATCTGGACAATTACCATGAAAGTATTTATAGAAAAGAAATATATATATATATATATATATATATATATATATATATATATATATATATATATATATACCTAAAAAACCTAAAGAGCCAAACAAAACCTACCTAGGTTTCACCTACGCGGATCATCAGGGTAAACTTTTACTTTATTCGTGTCGAAGGTTTTTTTTTCCTTGGACTCTGAACTTTCATTCTAGACGATTATTTTCGCCGGAAGTACATGTTCTTAGTTCTTTCTTTTTTTTACACTTTTTTCCCTTGGATGTTGGTTTGTTCATTCACAAGCTAAAACACCTAAGGTTTTGCCGGACGAGTATAGCTGCTTATATTTATAAGATTATTAGTATTATATATACAGTGCTGTTCGATAAAAGTGACTCACCTGATTTTTTTTTTTTTTTTACTTAAAAATTTTTTCACATATTGTTTTTGGGGTCAAACTAATTTTTAATTTTACTAATATAAAGACCCCTTTCCGAAAACCTAGTAAAAAAGTTTACTCACCCTAATGTATACTATTGATAATTATAATTTTGGATATAAATGAGATTTAGGGGAAAAAAATGTGACTCACTTATTTCCTGCAACTAGTAATCAATAGAAACATAACCAAACAGCTTTAAATAAAGAATAATAGAGGTATAATTTGTTTATAATAGGTAATATAGTTCGAAATATCTAATAATCTATTTTGAATAACCTTTTCAACCCTTTTTTTTTTATTAGGTTCCGGCAAATCTCATCCCCAAGCATTGAATACCATTCGGATATGAAATTCATAATCAAATCCTGTTTGTTACTCAACTGCTTTCTCGAGAGCCTGTACTTTATAATGCTCCATAATTTTATATGGGGTTGAGGTCAGGAGTTTGGGGCAGCCAAGTCATAACACTCACCTGCTTCTCATCAAAATATTCCTTCATCAATTTTGATTTGTGACAGGGAGCATTATCCTGCATAAAAATGAGCTTGGTGGGGTTGATTTGCACCCTTTCAGCAGAAGGGAGCAGACAAGACTCTAAAATTCTCTTGTACTGCTCGCTCCTGAGGGTTTTTTCAATAGGTTTTAAGAAACCAGTTCCATGAAAAGAAAAGCATCCCCAGAACATTATACTGAACGGATGCTTGACAGTACTTCCTCCCTAAATTCAAAGAGCTTTTAAAGCTTCTTCTTCGGATTTTAGATCGCTTATCCTTTGAATTTAGCTCAACTTAAGTTTCATCGGAGAAGAGAACATTTAGTAAAAAAAATCAGGTGAGCCACTTTTATCGAACAGCACTGTATATATATAATTCTTTTTAGTATTACTATTATCAATATTACCTTTTTATTAGTATACTACTATTATCATTTGATTACTGCAAATCTTTTAATTTTTATTATTCTTATCACTATTTTTAAACAAAAAAAACGTTACTCCCCTTGATTCTCAAACGTATATATTTGTTTCTAAAAGTTAAAAGTATGATTCTTTTTTACCACATTTTCTTTATATATATGAGTGAACTGTAATAGTTTACTTATTAAAATTAAAGGAAAAATGACAGTAATAAATAAAATCACATAAGATTGATGTTTAGTTTTTAACAAGCGTACGTCTTTTCGAAGACGTTTTTCTACGCTTGTTTTTAAATTTTATACTTCGAAATTTATTAAAAATAAATTACCATTATTATTTCACAAATTTACCTTAATATTTTTTTTCTAATATTTTTGTTATTCATAAAGAACAAATGCTTTCATAGAATTATTTTTTATTAATTGCGTTTTTCTTTGAGGTAAAATAAACTAACAAATATTAATGTTTAGTTTAAAACTAAAGATTCCTTCTGGTCACACTTGCCAATGGTTATTTTATGTTTCATCATTTTCCATGCAATAAGCGAAAAATCTTTAAGTAACATTTTTATGATTATTTCTGAGTTTCATTTTTTCAACATGGCGCGAAAGCATGCACTTAGTTTTACAAATATAGTTGTGAAAAACTTTTGCAGTCATTACTTACCCAGATCAGACAAAGAAACAGCTTCAAAGGTTTTGAAATTTTTCTAAAATGATTTTCTTTTAATGGAAATTTGAACAAGACTCTTTATTCAATCCATGGGGGTAGATTGAATAAAGGGCTCGGCAAGACCTGCAAATAGTGCAAATGTTTCTGTTTCAGCGTCCATAATTGTAATTTTTTAAACGAACATTAGAATTTTTGATTTTGATTTTCTACTTTAATTGTAAGTTTGAGCCTAAATTTAAATTCAAAATTAGATTATAATGCAATTAAATATTTAACAATAGTAATTATACATCCAAACCTCACGAATCTCGCGAGACTTAACCAAATTGTGAACAATGTTCAGTGCCTGCTGATTCCACCAGGCATCAAACGTACTGACCGTATGGGGTATTATATATTTCTATTAATATATACTTAATAGCTCTGCTATTTAGCATTGAGCACTGTTATTCTTACACCAAAGGATATATGTATGTATGTGTATGTGAACACTTACACGTACATTTATTTATATTTATTTATTTGATTATATATATATATATATGAAGAAATATACTCTTGTGTGCTATATTTATGGGATAAAGTGCTCAATATCAGAGATAGAGCGTTATAAATATAAAAGTGAACATTGAAGACAACAATTAGAGTTGACAGGGTGTTTCATGCAAGACGCAATCGTCAGGCCACGAGTCTGACTGACGATTGCGCCTAGCATGAAACAGCCTGTCGCCTCTAAGTGTTGACTTCAATGTTCACTTTTATATATATATATATATATATATATATATATATTGAACCACTAAACGAAGACAAAACTATGAAAGTTTAAAAATACATTTTTATAGTAAAATTACAAACAATACTTATTTATACTAGAATTACCAACAGTAAATTTTATAGCAAAATGACCAACAATACATTTTATCTGTAGTTGAAGTCATGCAATGGCGTTCAAAATATTCAGTTGAAGCCATAAAATTGCGTTAAAAATCTTTAGATTTCAGCATGAAATAACCCATAGACGTTGATATGCCGCTAAACAAAATCAACCAACGAACATGAAAGAAATCTTTTATGGCATTAATCCATATAATATTCTACAATTTCTTAAATAAATTAAACTGTATTCCAAAATATAACTTCAACAAAACTACAACATAAAACACACATCTCACCTTTTCTAGTAATCATGTCCACATTAACATATATATGCACAAAATCTGAGTATCATCTACCATGTATTCAATTGTGAAAGTAGAATAACATCATATTTTTATTACTTCAAAGCTCCGAATTTCGGCATTAAACGACCCATAAGGAGTTGATATGCTGTTATAAGTGGGAGTTCTGTTCATAACATAAATAAATCATCAAATCGACCCCTAACTTCTTGAAGAGTTATCTACATTTTGTATTTATTTACAAGATCCAAGTTTAAAACTGTGCTGACGTCATTGATAATTGCGTACTATTGATGTAGTCTTTTTCCCAATTCATAAGATCTGGTATTCCTTTAAAATACGAAGTCAACTCACACACTGCAATTATAATTCTATAAGGCAGTTCCAACTAATATATGGGAAAATACCCATAAATGAGAATTTTTGATGATTGTTGAACAAAATAATGAGAATAAATGCAATGTTGTAGTGAAAGAAATAAAGAAGATTGCTTGGAACATTGAATGCGGCTAACTCCCCCCACTTTTAAACGTTTCGTCTCAAGCAAGATAATACTGCTACCAAGATACAAAGGGGTAGTGAAAGAAAATGAGAAATTATTAGTGAGGAAAGAGGTCAATAAAAGAACAGGATTCAGGAAGATGGTAATTGACGTTGCACTTAAATTTTTGCAGATCGTAAGTGGCACAGAAGCAAGAACCCGGAAGTGAGTTCCACAGGCGATAACTTCCGGTTATATATACAGAATGATTGAAAAGTAACCCCCCATTTTAAAATACTTATAATTTATTTATTAACTATATGTTTTACAAGAAATGGATATGAGAGGAAAGCGTTTAGAATGAGATTTTATTTAAAATTTCATATGGACACCAAGTTTCGCTACCAGCTTCTCGAGACGTCCAGAAATCGCGTCAACTCATTTTACCAGGAACTCTTATGGTATTGAAGTCATAACTTCTTGTATTTGCTCTTTGAGTTCTTCCAAAGTCTTGCTTTTGTATAGTAGACTTGCTCCTTTAACCAATTCCAAAGAAAAACGTCAGAGGACCCCTGTCTGGCCGCTCATACATAAAATAGAGACTTACTTTTCAATCACCCTGTAGATTTTTCAATGGTAAGACGGCGAAACCTAGTTGCCAGTCTAATAGTACATTTAAATTGGTATTGTCAAGATACCAGAGATAAAAAATCATTAGAACAATTACCATGGAAATATTTATAGAAAAAAATACAAAGGCACACCAAGGCCGTTGGAAAGTGACAGAGGTCAGGTCAGGGCCGATGGCACGACACAATGAACCCACTTTCCTAGCAGAAAAGCCGGGCAACTGATTTTAAATTAATGTCAGGATATAGACGACTGGTATCATCCATTTCTTTCTCTCAATTTCTGGCCATGTCTCATGTTTTTATTTTAAACAAAATAAACATTACAATCGTTCATATATAATAAAATTCACCAACCCAAACCATTTTTCCCATGCAAAAAAAAAAAAATTCACTCGTGCGTTATTGAATTTATTACATGAAAACAGGAAAATCTTTTAAGATTATATCTGAAGGTATTCCGAAAAAAAAATTTCCAAGCAGAGTACAATTGCCAAATCTGCTGCTTGGTATGTAGTTTCACTATACCGTGCTAGACAATCGATCTCGCCAGAATCTAACATAAGTCTACCATTGATCCGTGTATCGAATATTGCTGAGACTAGGGCCTCTAGTACTTTGTCTAAACGATGTAGAAGGATAATAATTCGATAGTTCGAAGGATCAAATGGTTCGACTGATTTCTTAAAAGAGGAACTAAAGAGAGACGAAGAAAAACAACGCATGACATACCTGGCGGCTTTAAGGAAGTGGATGACAGAACGTCGCCTGGAGGAGATGGCAGAGGGAAAGAACTTGTTGAGAGCGGGAAGGGATAAAGGGAGGTGGAGAGCCATGATCGCCTACGTCCTGAAAGGACATGGCACATAAAAAGAAAGAAATGTTAGCTGCTTATATATGAGTCTGTAAACATTTTCCTGGTTCCGACCGAGTTATATATTGGCCGTTTATCTTTGAGTCTGTAAAGATTTTGACATGGTTCTGAGATAGTTGCATTCAGATATCTGAATGAATAATAACGAAAAAAGAATGAAGTCAAGAGCAAATGCATCTGAATACATAAGAAAGAATGAAAGGAAAGGGCAAAGACATCTGAATGAAGAAAGAAAGAAAGAAAGAAAGAACTAAAGAAAAGAGCAGACATCTGAATGAAGAAAGAAAGGAAGAAAGAAAGAACTAAAGAAAAGAGCAGACATCTGAATGAAGAAAGAAAGAAAGAAAGAAAGAAAGAACTAAAGAAAAGAAAAAATAAAGAAAAGAACTAAAAAGAAAAAAAAAGAGCAAAGACAAGAAAGAACAATGAAGAAAAGACAAAGAAAGAATGAAGAAAGAAAGAAAGAAAGAAAGAACTAAAGAAAAGAGCAGACATCTGAATGAAGAAAGAAAGAAAGAAAGAAAGAAAGAAAGAAAGAACTAAAGAAAAGAGCTAAAAGAAAGAACTAAATGAAAAAGAGAAAAAGAAACAAAAGAAAAGAGCATGAATGAAGAAAGAAAGAAATAAAGAAAGAAAGAAAGAAAGAAAGAATGAAAGAAGTAAAGAAAAGAGCAAAGACATCTAAATGAAGAAAGAAAGAAAGCAAGAAAGAAAGAACTAAAGAAAAGAGCAATCAGATTTGAATGAAGAAAGAAAGAACGAAAGAAATGAGCAAAGACATCTGTATGTATAATAAAAAAAAGAAAGAAAGAAAAATTAAATTCATCTGAATTAATATCAAAGAAAGAAAAAAGAAAGAAAAGTGTAAAAACACGTGAATGAAGATAAAAGAAAAAAGCAAAGATATCTGAAAAGAAAGAAAAGAAAGAAAGAACTAATAAAAAATAAATGAAAAAAGAAAGAAAAGATGTATCTGAATGAAAAGAAAGCAAAAATAAAGGACGAAAGAAAAAGAAAGAAAGAAAGAAAAAAAAAGGAAGAAATCTGAAAAGGAAAGAAAGAAAGAACTAAAGTCTGAATGAAAAAAAAGGAGCAGACAAAAAAAAAAAAGTAAGAAGAAAGAAAAAGAAAGCAAAGACAACTGAATGAAGAAAGAAAGAAAGAAAGAAAGAAAGAAAGAAAGAATGAATGACATATGAATGAATAGAAAAAAGATCAAATTTACCTGAATGTATAAAAAAAAAAGAAAGAAAGAAAGAAAAAAGAAAGAAAGAAATAAGGAAGAGAAAGAAAGAATGTCATCTGAATGAACAGAAAAAAGAACAAAGGCACCTGAATGAATGAAAAATAAAAAAGGAAAGAAAGAAAGAAAGAAAGAAAGAAAGAAAGAAACCGTGATCATAATGGAAACAGTTCCCCCCCCCCCGACCTCGCTTTTCTTTAAACTATCTTCTCTTCGATTGTCATCGCTGCGTTACTACTTCCTAACCCAGAAGGCAGTTCGAATCATCAGAAGGCAAAGCACACACTTCAGCCGCGAAAGACGGCTAATAAAGCTACAATAGACAGTCACCTCGACAGACTGTCAGAAACAGTCGGACATTAATTGCCGATGAATGAAGAAAAGAAAGGAAGAAAAGAAAGAACTGACCCCAAAAAAGAAAGAAAAAGCAAAGCGAAAAAAAGAAAGGGGAAATTTCCTCTGAAGGTAATTGTTAACTAAAAAGATCCACTGAGCGACCTAATTGGTCGCCTTGCTTCGTCAGAAGACACAAGATTAAGCGGACTGAGTCAAAAACGAACTGTAGGTGAACCGGGGAAAAGTCTGACAAGGCGTTTTTTTCGCGGGCGTGACCCTAACACGTGACCCTATCACGTGATTCCAAGACGTGACTGCCACATTTCATTTCATTCATACCCATGGGGCATTCCTCCGATAATATTTTTCAAAGAAAAGAGGACACCTGAATGAAGAAAGAAAGGAAAGAAAAAGAAAGACAAAGACATTACCATTTTCTTTTTAATTATATTTCCTTTCCGCAATTTTTTTCCATCTTCAGCATTTTTTTTATCGATTCCATCACTAAAAGAAAACGCATAGATGAAAAATATGTCATTCACTTTCATTTTCCCTTCCCGGCCTCGCCCCAACTGTCAGTCACCGTTTTGTTCCTCCCATTGAACAAGGACACGTGCCACTAATGCTGGGATCAAAGTGTAGTATTTGTCAAAATTTAATTCACAAACACTTGCACACAGACACACACATGCACATACGAACATTGCATTAGATCAGTGGATCTCAACCTTTTTTTACCCATGGACCCCTTTCCCCTTCTTTTTATCTTGGTGGACCCCTTCATAGCTATTGGACATAAGAACAATTTTCTATTCTTCACTAATATAAATTTTAAGGTTTTAATTATCAGAGAAATAGTATACGATTAAGCTTTATTTTTAAATGAAAACTAATTTAATACAAATAAAATATTCTACTATAATTATAATAATAATTATTATTACTATTTTTAATTAACACAACAATTGAGTTTTGCCTGTGGACCCCCGGAAATATTACATGGACCCCTAGGGTCCATGTAGACCCCGGTTGAGAACCACTGCATTAGATAAACATATATGGAGAGAATTATATCGACAGGTAGATATGAACAGATTCAAAGTGATAGATAGATAGATAGATAGATAGATAGATAGATAGATAGATAGATAGATTTTAACACAATTAGATAAATATTTACAGAATTAGATGGACACAACCCATATGGAAAGAATTATATCAACAGGTAGAGATAGATAGATAGATAGATAGATAGATAGATAGATAGATAGATAGATAGATAGATAAATAGATAGTGGACAGAATGACATACATATACATACATACATACACATACATACATACATACATACATACATACATACATACGGTGTTATTATATCACGGATATAATAATGCCCATAACACGTATAAAGTATAAATAGGTGAAAAATATTGCATATATATATATATATATATATATATATATATATATATATATATATATATATATATAAATAAAAAAAAAAAGAATAGTGAGATTGATAATTCGGAGCTTTTAGCTTTTATTCATATTTTTAAAAAAACAGTACTCGATCTGAGCTTAATATTATAATTATTTTTTAAAATATGATTCCATCATGACCCAGAACACCCTATGTTTCAAAACGGAGAACTCCAAATCTAGATTGATTTTAAAAATTAAATCTACAATCCACACTTTCTTTCCATTTTCAAGCGATCACTTTGGAGTTTTACGTTTTCAAATATAGGATGTGCCGTGTCGCGATGGAATCATAATTTAAAAAAAATAATTATAACATACAAATATACAAAATAAAAAATAAGTAAATAAATAAAAAACAAATAGAAATTAATCCAAATAAATAAATAAATGAACAAATTAACAAATCGCCCCCGCTAAAATAACCGTTAGAATTAATAAAAATAAGCATAAATAAACAAGTAAAAATAATCTAAATAAATAAATTAAAAAGTGTCCCCCGCCAAAATAACAATAAACTACGGCAAGCAATCTAAACAGTGGACGAATAAATAGCTTTAATTAGCTTCCCAGAACAAAACAAGCTATTAAATAAGAGACCTAAGCATATCAGCCAATTTCTTTTTACTACGTTAATGAAACCGAAAAGAATAAATCATACAAAACGAAAATGTAAAACAAGTAAAATAAATTTACCCTAAAAAATAAATTAATAAGGAAGCCATTCGCGCAAAAACAACCGCCAGAATAAATTACCCACAATGCACCACTGGCCCATATAGATAAATAGTCGAGGAAAAATCCAACATTCGCGATCTGACGATTGCGTCTAGCATGAAACAGCCTGTCGCTTCTGAGTGTTGACTTCAGTATTCACTTTTATATTTATATAAGCTCTATCTCTGGTATTGGGCACTTTATCCCATAAATATAGGACACCTTAAAATTGTATTTCTTCATATATATATATATATTAAGAAATGGACAAGGTCCGACAATTTATTTATTAAAGACATTTTTATGTTTAACGTTGTTATTTATAGATACAAGTATTTAAGCAAATGCTCTGTTTATGATAAACAGTATTAAATAACATTTACCGGCCTGAATGTCCGAGAAATTTTCATAGAAAATATTCGTTCTTTGACAGGATTCGAACCTGCATCCTATACGGAACCGTCATTTACGTTGACGTGTTTAACCTCTGGGCCACAAAGACAAGGTCGAATTGTGACCCAGAGGTTAGAAAAAAGTTTTATATATATATATATATATATATATATATATATATATATATATATATATATATATATATATATATATATATATATATATATATATATATATATATATATATATATATATATATATATATATATATATATATATATATATATATATATATATATATATATATATATATATATATATATATATATATATATATATATATATATATATATATATTCGGTCCATTTCTTAATATATGACGTCATTTGTTTACATTTGATACGCCAGAGCAGTTATGAATGTACGAGATCTATGTATCTATAAATAACAACGTTAAACATAAAAATGTCTTTAATATATATATATATTCCGTGCTTGTCCCATAGATATCTGCGTCCAGACATTTTTCACTACGAAGGGTTTTTACAATGCCTTGGTCCTCATAAATCCTTTCTGCCTGACATCAACATGACAGGAGAGCAACACTCTACGCCTTCACGTTTTCCACTGACATGAAGTACAGCGACTATGTAGAATCAATTGCTACTTCTACTTATAGGGAAGTGGTATTTACTTGACTTCCACTAAGTCAAGATGTGACACAAGGTCGTTTAACGTGGGAGAACCGAGTGTTTCCACTCAAAGGCAACTGGTCAAAATTGGTCATAGCTTGTCCAAGCTGGTCAGAGCCTAGTCAAAGCTGGTCATGACTTGTCCTAGCAAGTCCAGGCTGGAGCCAGTCCAATCTAGTCGAAGCCTTGATCGAATCTCAGCCATAGGCCAAGAAACGATCCAATATTTGTCAAAAAACCCAACGAAAAAATTCTACTTATAGGGAAGTTGGTTCACTGAGTCGTCCCAGATTTTTTTCCTGTCAGTATCTAATTTGCACATTTAGAAATCTACCATTCGTCCGTGTATCGAAAAGAAAAATGACAGATAGGTTGAATTTTTAAAACATGGCCTATAACAAGTGAATTTTGTGGTCCTACGGCACAAAATATTAAGACAATTTTTGCTATGTTTTTCAAGATTTTCGTCTCTGACGCCATCAAGTTTGGATAAGGCGAGAAAATATTTCCGTGATAAGATTTTTCTCCCTTTTCGTGTAAATTCCCAAATATTAAATCAATTTTAAATCTGCAAAATGTAGGAAAAATGTTCTCGAGAAGATATTTAAAAATTAGTCACTTCTCTACGTTAAACTGATTATTATTCATCTCACGAACCATACGCCAGGCATCAAACATCAGTTTTTGATACATTTTAATTTGTATTTATCAGAAAATCATGATCTAGACCTCTATTTTCTATTATTTAAGATGTACTAAATACGTTTATAACACTGCAAAATGCTAAAAAACCAAACAACATGTAAATGGTGTAAGTGAAGCGACTTTATAGAATCAATTGTTACGACCGCTGCCGGCAAAGTTAAGAAATTTTTCTCGTCATTATCTAATTTACAAATCTACCATTCGTCCGTGCATCAAATAGCACCGCCATATCTGGTCTGGTGCTCCTGCTGTATACCTCGAGATTCCTGATAAATTTCAAAGAAGGTTCGCTAATGTAATCGAGCTTGACCTGGCATTTCGACTGCATTCACTTTCTCACCAACGTGACGTGGCTTCTGTTGCAGTTTTTTGTTTATATGTATGTACTAGTGAGCCAGTCAAAATGACTTGACTCACTTTATAGTCCACCAATAGAAGGTTAATCAATCAGAAGACGTAGAATATTCAATCCGTTGTGTATAAAGGCGGCCATTTTGTTTACTCTATCCGAATGTCCAGTGCCAACTTCTCAGGCGAAGAGGAACAGAAGGAAGAACTACGCTCTGCTACTTTAGCGGGATATCCACTACGCTTCCCTACTGTCTTCGAAATATTCACTGCTAATCTCTGGATTCTATACTCAAAAACGACCGTCATCATGAACAACAGCTTCCATCTTTTTTTTTTTTTACAAATATTTTCTTGGCAACTGTTCTGATGAGCTTCTATTTGTTCTTTGGTGCCTCGCCTGCATGAATTTAAGCGTGATACTTGATTGGCAGTTAGGTCCCACCGTTTTACTGTTGAACTAACTAGTTGAAACCGCCACTTCT